GACAAAATACATGGGTTGTATGTATTTGTTGCATTTTGTGGTCTTCAGTAAGATTTTGACTTTTAGCTAAATTACTCTGATTTTTTTTTCAAACTCTGCCAGTTTTTTGTTTTTTGTTGTTGTTGTTGTTTTGTCGTGTCAGGAGCAACTTGAGACACTGCAAGTCGCTTCTGGTGTGAGAGAATTGGCTGTCTGCAAGGACGTTGCCCAGGGGACGCCCGGATGATTTAATGTTTTTAATCATCCTTGTGGGAGGCTTCTCTCATGTCCCTGCATGAGGAGCTGGAGTTGATAGAGGGAGCTCATCTGCCTCTCCCCGGATTTGAACCTGCGACCTGTCAGTCTTCAGTCCTGCCGGCACAGGGGTTTAACCCACTGCGCCACCGGGGGCTCACTCTGCCAGGTGAGAAAGGCAGGGTATAGATGAAGTAAATAAACTAAAATTGCATACTGCAGTCACAAAGCTGTTTTTATAATACAGTAAAACTGTGTTACATTAAGTTTGTCTTTTTTACTTTTAGTTACTGTATTTCAATATTAATATCAAGTCAATACAGAGTTTATAGCATGGTACAGTAGAGAATATAGTATTATAATAGTATGCTTAATAGTAACTCTCAAACCATCAGAAACTACTTATTTTTCCTTTTTAAAATAAAAGACTTTCTGAACTTGCGCTAGTTCATAGCATCAGAAGGTTGAGACTGAACCAGCAGCAGCTATAAACCCCAGCTCAATGGTATCCAATCCTTCAATAAATAAACTGTATCAACTTTATGATTTTGTGCAACTTGTATCTTTAACCTGTGCAGTGTATCTATTTCCTCTATACGCTGTATATGAACTTCTTTATAACACTGTAAAAAATCTAGCCTAGACAGCCACCCTTCGCGACCTTGCTAAAATAACCCCATAAGAATAGAAAGGTGGGACAAATCCCCCTGGCTTTTTCCCAAGCCAAATAATCATCAGATTCATTGTTTATATGCAAAGATAGTGGATCTCCTGTGCCAGCAAGATTAGCTCAGAAATGCTTGTGTGACTCCCTCGAAGCTGAGAGCCTGTTATTCCTGCGGAAACAGACTTAAAAATAGGTTTAAAATATGTACATTTGTTAACTCTGTTATTTGACAGCCTCGTCCTTGATTGCCCAGGATCAGCACCTTTGTTTCCTAAGCCCTCAGTTGCAGTGATAGGCCAGACTGGACACACTGGTGCCCCAAACTAGGAGTGTGGATTTAAAGAAATGGATGATGGGATGCCCTACAACAGGCTGGAAACAGTGGAGTTGCTCTTCTCTGCCTGTACAGCATCCCTATAGGAGTCCGCTTGATGTCTGAAAAAACCTATCATTCTATGTGAAATAAGCAATAACTCATATATATTTTTAAAATATATAAATGAAAGATTTTCATGAGGTATATAGTGTCCCCATACACTTACTATAATTTATGCATATGCCCGCATCTCATATATGGGGATGTTTGAACCTTTGGTTTGCCAATAAAACTTAATTATTGTGTTGCAAAAGAATGCACGTTAAGAACTGAGATGCTTGGAAAGCTCAAGGGATTGAATGCAGAACTGGTAACAAAGGATCAATCTGGCATCGAGGGTTAGCACAACAAGTTTTTGAACTTTTGTATTCTTTAATTTCCATACTAAAATGCACACCTCTAGACGGTCCAGGTCCAGGCTATTTGGCTGACTGCATCCCCATCTATGACCCTGCCCAGGCTCTTCTCTTGGTCCCACCTCCATCTCAAGCCCGGTTGGTGGGAACAAGAGAGTGTCTTCCTTCTCAGTGGCAGCCCCTCAATTCTGGAACTCTCTGCCCAGGGAAGCTAGAATGGCCTCCTCCGTCCTTCTGGCGGCAGGCTAAAACCTTTTTACTCAGGCAGGCTTTTAACGATGAAGGTGTTTTAAGATCAATTCAGGAAACCTGTAGTTTTAAAATTTGAATTTGTTTTAATAGTTTTTAACTGGAATTTTAAAAATACTGGTTGTGTTTAATTCTGTTTCAATATTTGTATATTTTAAATTGGACACCAATGCTTTTAGGTTGAGCTGCTTTGAGTAATCTTTAAAGAGATAAAGAAGGGTATAAATAAACATAAGGATGTGTTGTTGAAGGCTTTCATGGCCGGAATCACTGAGTTGCTGTGAGTTTTCCAGGCTGTATGGCCATGTTTCAAAAGCATTCTCTCCTGATGTTTTGCCCACATCTATGGCAGGCATCCTCAGAGGTTGTGGGGTCTGCTGGAAACTAGGAAAGTGGGGTTTGTTGATCTGTGGAATGTCCAGGTTGGGAGAAAGAACTCTTGTCTGCTTGAGGAAAATGTGAATGTTGCAATTGGTCAGCTTGATTAACACTGAATGGCCATGCAATCAGGGCCAGCTAACACCTCCCGACAAAGGATTTCCCCAGGCAGGAAGTATCCAGGCTTTAAAGCTGCAAGGCCATTCAATGCTAATCAAGCTGGCCACTTGCTTCCAACAGACAATAGTTCTTTCTCCCATCCCGGACATTCCACAGATATATAACCTCACTTGCCTAGTTTCTAACAGACCTCGCCACCTCTGAGGATGCCTGTCATAGATGTGGGTAAAAGGTTAGGAGAGAATGCTTCTGGTACATGGCCATACAGTTCAGAAAACTCACAGCAACCCAATAATAACAACAATAATAACAATCTAGTAATATTATTATTATTATTATTATTATTATTATTATTATTATCTGACAGAGTTCTGGAGCACAATAATCCGGACCTCATCATCATGTTAAAAAACAAAGTAATCCCAGGTGACAGCAGGATTGAAGAGAAACAACTGGAAAAGCTGACACAATATGAGGACTTAAAGATCGAACTGCAAAGACTCTGGCATGAGCCAGTCAAGGTGGTCCCAGTAGTGATCGGCACACTGGGTGCAGTGCCTAAAGACCTTGGCCTGCACTTACACACAATCAGCGCTGACAAAATTACCATTTGCCAGCTGCAGAAGACCACCTTACTGGGATCTACACGCATCATTCGCCGATACATCACACAGTCCTAGACACTTGGGAAGTGTCCGACATGTGATCCAATGCAACAGCCAGCAGAGTGATCTTGTTTGCTGTGGACTCATCTTGTTGTGTTTCAAATAATAATCTGATAATAATATACATCACACAGGTCTAAATGCTTGGGAAGTGTTAACTTGTGATTCTGTGATACGAAATCCAGCATATATCTCTCGTTTGCTGTGTCATGCTGTGTTTTTGTGTCAGTAAAATAATCTAGAATTACTAAGATAATTAAGTAAAAAAGAATGAAATAAGTGATTGTTATGGGATGCCATATGTGATTACCTGGCTTGAGGGAGGACTATAGTAGCAGAAGGACCCCTTTTTGCTCCTATGGCTTGGTCCTGCAGAGTCTTCGGATGTGTAATTTTGTGAGGTAACTGTAATTCTGGGTTGTTGTAGGTTTTCTTGGGCTATATGGCCATGTTCTAGAGGCATTCTCTCTTGGCGTTTCACCTGCATCTATGGCAAGCATCCTCAGAGGTAGTGAGGTCTGTTGGAACTAGGAAAATGGGTTTATATATCTGTGGAAAGACCAGGGTGGGTCAAAGGACTATTGTCTGCTGGAGCTAGGTGTGAATGTTTCAACTGACCACCTTGATTAGCATTTGATAGCCTGGAAGTGCCTGGAGCAATCTTTTGTTGAGAGGTGATTAGATGTCCCTGTTTGTTTTGCTGTTTCAATTTTAGAGTTTTTTTTAAATACTGGTAGCCAGATTTTGTTCGTTTTCATGGTTTCCTCCTTTCTGTTGAAATTGTCCACATGATTGTGGATTTCAATGGCTTCTCTGTGTAGTCTGACATGGTGGTTGTTGTGAGAGTGGTCCAGCATTTCTGTGTTCTCAAATAATATGCTGTGTCCAGGTTGGTTCATCAGTGCTCTGCTATGGCTGACTTCTCTGGCTGAAGTATTCTGCAGTGCCTTTCATGTTCCTTGATTCGTGTTTGGGCAATGCTGCGTTTGGTGGTCCCTATGTAGACTTGTCCACAGCTGCATGGTATACGGTAGACTCCTGCAGAGGTGAGAGGATCTCTTGTCCTTTGCTGAACGTAGCATTTGTTGGATTTTCTTGGTGGGTTTGTAGATTGTTTGTGTTGTTTCCTCATCAGCTTCCCTATGCGGTCAGTGGTTCCCTAGATGTATGGCAAGAACACTTTTCATCTGGGTGGATCTTGGTCTTGACTCTTGTGGCAGAGCACCTGATGAACCAACCTGGACACAGCATATTGAGAACACAGAAATGCTGGACCACTCTCACAACCACCATGTCAGACTACACAGAGAAGCCATTGAAATCCACAAGCATGTGGATAATTTCAACAGAAAGGAGGAAACCATGAAAATGAACAAAATCTAGCTACCAGTATTAAAAAAAAACTCTAAAATTAAAACAGCAAAACAACAGAGGGAAAACAATCAGGGGCATCTAATCACCCCTCAACAAAAGATTGCTCCAGGCACTGCCAGACTATCAAATGGTAATCAAGGTGGTCAGTTGAAACATTCACACCTAGCTCCAGCAGACAAGAGTCCTTTGTCCCACCTTGTTCTTTCCACAGATATATAAACTCATTTTCCTATTTCCAGCAGACCTCACTACCTCTGAGGATGCTTGCCATAGATGCAGGCGAAACGTCAGGAGAGAACGCCTCTAGAACATGGCCATATAGCCGGAAAAAACCTACAACAACCCAATGAATTAAGTGATTGTTATGGGATGCCGTATGCGACTACCTGGCTTGAGGACTATAGTAGCAGAAGGCCCCCTTTTTGCTCCTGCAGAGTCTTCGGATGTGTAGTTCTGTGAGGTAACTGTCATTCTGTTTTCAAAAATGGCATCCACAGGAGCCAGGAAGTCAGTCCCATCTTCCGATCAAAGGCACTGACTAGACTCCTCACGCCTTCGCGTTGACGGGCAGCGCCGCAGCCAATGGGAGGAGCCGCCCTCTCGAAGCCCTGCCCACCCGGCTCCCGAGAGTGGCGCTTAGAGCGGAAGCTTCGGAGGAGGACTCGCCAGCGGCCTGCCAGGAAGAGGAGGAGATGGCGGAGGCGGCGGTGAGGCAGGCGCGCGCGCGCGGAAAGGGAGGGGGGAGGAGGCTGGAGGACGGCGCGTGCGTTGGCGCGCGAGGGTCGCGCCGGCGGTTGGCCCCCACTGGGCGCTTGGTGTTTGAACTTCCCACAATGCCTCGCGAGGGAAGTGGGAGGAGCCTGTGCGCCCCCCTCCTCCCCTCCTTTAGTAGAGAAGGAGAAGCCTGTCAGTGTTAGCTCAGCTCTGCAAAAGCAATGTTCATAAATAGCACTATGGACACATGAAGGGGCCATGACCCCCAATACATAGAGGCTGCTCAGATAAAGCCTTGCTTCCCAAGCTAGTCTTCAGGGTGGTCTGGACTTCATCTCCCAGAATCCCTGCTCATTGGCCAAGGCAGCTGAGGCCTCTGGGATTTAAAGTCCAAAACTCTTGGAGAACTCCAGTTTGGGAATCATTGGCTTTAGAGCAGGCATGGGCAGACTTAGGCCTTCCTGGTGTTTTGGACTTCAACTCCCACCATTCCTAACTGCCTCAGGCCCTTTCCTTGGGCTTTCCTAAGCGGCTGTGGGGGAAAAGGAAGGGGCCTGAGGCAGTTAGGAATGGTGGGAGTTGAAGTCCAAAACACCAGGAAGGCCCAAGTTTTCCTATGCTAGGTCTATAAGGGTCAGGCTTCGTGATCCTTGAATAAGAGCCATTTCTTCTCAGTTATTCAGAACTCTCAAGCAACTGCATTTTAAAAATGTAAGAAACAGTATCATATTCACTAAACTGTTTTTATAATGCTGTAAAACTGTGTTACATTAAGTTTGTCTTTATTTGCCTTTAATTACTGCATTTCCATGGTATGGCATAGTATGGGGTACAGTAGAGTCTCACTTACCCAACCTTCACTTATCCATCATTCTGTATTACCCAACGCAGTGTGGATGCAATGTTTTGGTACTAAATTCATAAATACAGTGATTACTACATAATATTGTCATATATTGAACTGCTTTTCTGTCGATTTGTTGTAAAACATGATGTTTTGGTGCTTAATTTGTAAAATCATAATGTAATTTGGCGTTTAATAGGCTTTTCCTTAAGGTCACAAAGAGTCGGAAGCGACTGGACGAATAAACAACAACAACAGGCTTTTCCTTAATCCCTCCTTATTATCCAACATTTTCCCTTATCCAATGTTCTGCCGGCCCGTTTATGGTGCATAAGCGAGACTCTACTGTATATAGTATTAGTTAGGCCTATTTTAAAGGTAACTCTCGAGCAACCAGAATGTACACTTCTCTGGCCCTTCCCAATCTCTAGGGTGCCAGTGTCTATTAAGTGACAAACCAGCAACCTTCATTGTCCCTTTAATGTATTCTGCGCACCTCCAAAAATGTCTGGCCCACCCCACTTCTTATATCTTTAGCACTGTGCAAAAGTTCAAGTTAAACATCCCGTCATAGTTAAAATATTTCACCTGTTTGGTTATCTGCCTGCTGTGGGCATCTTGCAGGTAAGAGGCAGGTCAAGAATTATACTTCCTTCTCCATTAAAAATATTCCTAAAGATTGTGCTGTGTTGCAACCCTTGGTAAGATTTGTTTAAAAGGTTTTGCCTTTGCCTTCCTCTGAGGCTGAGGCATTGTGACTCCCCCAGAGTCACCCAGTAAATTTCCATGGCTGAGAAGGATCAAATCCTGCAGAAATCCTACACTACCATATGATCCAGTATTTGATTCCAGATTATCTGGCTTGAACCCGATTATATGCCTCTACACTGCCATATAATCCAGTTTAAAGCAGGTAATCTGGGATCAGAAACTGGATTATACGGCAGTGTAGATGGGACATTCGTTCAGTGCTCAAATCACCACATCAAGGCTGCTGTGTTAATATGTTTCATTATTAAAAGGAGTCTTGTGACACCCTTAAGACTGATTTATTTTAGCATGACCTTATCATGGATTGCACTCCACTCCCTCAGATGTACTTCAGCCCCTGCCCTCTTTCCTGCTATTGCAAAGTTCTTCATTTCAAAAAATGCTGGCCTGGAATTCAGAAATTGAAGATCACTTGAATGCCTGTAAAAACAGCACAAAAACACCTGAAGCAGCTTGCATCCGAGCTCTAGAGAAAAGGTGGAATGGGGCAATTTTTCCTGATTCAAGCCAACTTGGAATTGCCAGTTTGAAAACTGGAATAATAATAATAATAATAATAATAATAATAATAATAATAATAATAATAATAATAATAACAACAACAACAACAACAACATTTTATTTGTACCCCGCTACCATCTCCCCAAGGGACTCGGTGTGGCTTACACGAGGCCGAGCCCAAACACAACAATACAAGTAATAATAACAACAATACAAGCAATTAAAATAAAAACATAGACAATAAAATATACAACATTATCGATAAGACAACACACAATTAAAAACAGTGGGAAGGCCAAATGTTGAGTTAAAATTGGAAATAATCCTAGGACATGGACGAAAAGGTGATAGTGGTGTTTGTGGAAGGGCATACGAGCAGACCTAAAGAAATGTAAAGTGCTTTAGAGGACAAAGTGCTATGGGATCATTATTCCAGGAAGGCACACTGAAACAGCCACATCTTCAAGCTCCTCCTGAAGACTGCCAAAGTTGGGGCCTGTCTAATGTCTTTAGGGAGTGAGTTCTAGAGTCAAGGGGCCACCACCGAAAAGGCCCTCTCTCTTGTCCCCACCAATCGCACCTGTGATGCTGGTGGGATCGAGAGCAGGGCCTCTCCGGATGATCGAATGGATCGTGTGGAAGGGGGCTCTTGTACCTTTAACATTTGTCTACAAACATCGAGTTGGAAGAGACCCCATGGGCCATCCAGTCCAACCCCCTGCCCTGCAGGAAAACATAATCAAAGCACCCCAAACAGATGGCCATCCAACTAAGCAAGAATATCTACAGGTGTTGTTAAAATGATTAAAGATACAGAGGCCATCTGCCCCTTTTATCCTGACAACACTCTAGTTGGGAAATATAAGGAAACATACATAAGCAAGAGAAATAGTGGAATAGCACTGATCTCTACCCACAACTGCAACGTTTCCTGCTCCCCACTCCTTTCAGTTTCCTAGGCATTATTATTCTATATTTATACTCTATTTTTATCTTAGGAAGTGAGACTCAAAGTGACTTACAATTCAGTTTAAAAGCTTACAAATTAGAAATCCTAAAATAGAATTGAATGTTACCGTTATTAAAATAATTCACTTAAAATCATATAAAAATGAATAAAACTGTTTAAAATAATTTAAACATTACATAGCACCCCTGGCCCATTCTTACAAACTTTCTGCTTTAAAAGCCAGCCTGATGGACATCCCATTTTAAAAACAGAGAAGTTTAACCAATGACAAAATACTGCACTGTGGAGCATTATTGGTCCGTATTAAAGCCAGTTGAATATTCTATTACGACCTGTAAATTAATTTTCCTTCCCAGTCACTTGCTCTCAGATTTTTATTTCTCCCATCTGCAAAAAGCAGTTAACATCTCATATCTCTTCAAACTTCTGTGCTTGTAGAAACACTGGTGTTCCCTTCAAGTAGCTACCATATTCTGATTCTCCAAGCAAGGTTTTGAACCCTAGTCTCCAGAGTCATAGACCCCAGCTACACTTCTATATAATCCAGTTTCTGAATCCTGATTATCTGTTTTAAACTGGATTATACAATAGTGTAGATCCAGTCATAGTCCATGCTGACTCTCCACAAACAGGACAGGTAATTGCTCTGATATTACTGAGCAATTGCTTTTCTTTTCCAAAGTAAATAGTGTGTTGGCTGCCAACCAGTTACTCCTCAAAGAGTGTTCCATTTAGTGCTGGGCAAGGTATGTCACACATTAACTTGGGCTAGGTTGCAAAGTTTCTTGGTCCTTCAAAGAAATATCTGCCATAAAGTCTGCATTATACTGAAGGTAACTTTTGACCCTTTCTAAACGAAGCCAAACAGCTATACTAAAGAGAAGAAGTTTATTACTGTTTGCTTCTGGATTATACATTTGAGCCAAGATGCGAAGAAACCTTGTGTTGCCCCACCTGAAACTGGGGGGTGAGGAACTTTATGGGGCAATCAACCCAGAAATGATGGGGAAGCTCACAAAAATTACCCTCCAAAATTTTGAAACTAGAAATGGCTGACCTTCCAATTCTGGACTGTCTGGTGGCATCCAACCTGCAGCCCTCTAGGTGTTTGAGACTCGAACTCCCAAAAGCCCTGGCCAGCTTGTCCAAGGCTCAGGAATTCGAGGAGCTGAAGTACAAAACACCCAGAGGACCAAAGGTTGGACGCCACTGGTCCAGAACATTTATTCCCAAACTCTTGGCTTCCAGATGTTTTGGACTTCATCTCCCAGAAGTGTCAGCTGTCGTGGCCAGTGATCAGGGATTCTGGGAGATGAAGTCCGAAATACTGGCCCAGAATCATTGTCTAGGCACAAGTAGTAAGTCTGTGTCAAACAGCAGTTTAATAAAGAAGAGTCAATAAATGTAGATAACACATGCAAAAACCCATATTTTGTTTAAATGAACTCCCTAATGTATATAATTCCTCTCATTCCTTTGGTATATATCATTAAACCGAGAGAGGAAGAGAAAATAGTAGCTACCATATTCAGATATCCTTTATCCTACTCAAGACGCAAAGCCATTTCTGTTAGATTAGAACTAGCACTCTGTATTAGCTACTGGGTCTTCTATTTTGCAGGTCACCCAAGTGGGCCCATGTCAAACATTTCTTTCCTCCATTTTGTCACCCCTAACTGTTGTTATGTCTATGGAAAAAAATGATAATTGTGAACATCTTAATGTTGCTTTCACTTGGAAGGCATTGCAGTTAATGATGCTTCTTCCCATTTTTAACATTTAGTTGCTGACCGATCCTGAAGAAATAGCAGCTTTATACCGGGAGTTTTGTCAGTTCCCATCTCTTTCAAGTGCCTGTATTGGGCCTGAAGTAACAACACAGTATGGTGGCAAATATTGCAACATTTACACAGGTATGCTCCATCCCCATTTTGGTCTGCATTGTTGGGACTGGTATTCACGATATGGAAGTATTGTTGCCATGATCACATTTTCCCTCCACTTTGCTTTGGGTATTCTCTTTTGTGTACAAGGTAAGTCAGGAGCCTAAATCTTAGTGCCTGGAGGACTCTAGAGGGTGGAGATATAGGCAATGCCAGACAGTGATGGACATTCAGCACTTTCAGCATTTTTTTTTAAATCAGAAGGTATAAGAGCCTGAACCAAAAATAGATCTGAACCCTCCAGGATTTCTGTTGTCTCTCAGCACAACCTTGGCTGTGGCTGGAACCAAGCATACCCTCATGAAACCAGAAAAAGCCGGAATGTTAAATTGCCTCTGTGTCTGTCTATATATGTTGTATGTCTAAATGGCATTGCATGTTTGCCATGTATATGTGCATTGTAATCTGCCCTGAGTCCCCTGCGGGGTAAGAAGGGCGGAAGATAAATACTGTAAATAAATAATATAATAATAACAGGACATCAGGGCCTTAAATAATGGCCACAGCTTCACTAGTCCAAAGGTCGTTGTTATCTTCACCATGGGCCAAGAGTAGGACATTTTAAGGGTAACTGGACAGTTCCTTCTTTAGTCTTCTGAAGCTTTTTGTCTTGTAAAGCCACTAATGTATTTCATCTCTGTATGGGTATGCAATAGATTGTCCAAGTGAGCTCCTAGCTTGCACTGAGCTAGAAAATAGAAATAGATGGAAGCAATATTAGGTCTCCCTCTTTTCCCTTTGATTGTGTGTACATCTGTGTATGGAGACGGATGTTTCTAATGGAAGATGCTTAGTTGTAACTGTGCCAGGCTGAACAGGAGCTGTGTTCTTTTCCTCTATTTACAGAGTGGTCTCAGCGGGACTTGGAAAGAGCTGAAAATGTGAAATTCTGCCGCCAGTATCTCATTTTCCATGACAGCCAGTCTATCGTGTTTTCAAGTCCCTCTGGCAACTGCACTGAAATCAAGGGAGAGTAAGTATATTTTGCATTGCTTTCTCCTTTCCAGATGAGTATCAGTCCATCACCTAAACCTTCTGCTATATGCAGGATGCTACAGGCTCTAGGAGTAGATCATTACCCTCATGGATTAGCATAATACACAATTCCAGTATGTGAGCTGTATCTGCAACAAAATGAATTAATATTTTGCATCCAGGGCACTCTAAATCCTGCAGGAGAAATCATCCTTATTTAGTTAAAAAAATTATTTAGTGCAATATTTGATATTCAAGCTTCTGAATTCAGACTATAGAAAGACTACAACAGTATAAAAATAATACAACAATTTTGAAGTGTAATATAGCTTTATCTACAAAATGCAGCAGCAGTAGCATAACAATAAAATATCACAGCAAAACATGAAATTACACATATGTCCATCCAACTCAAATTGCATTGAAAACAGTAGTTAACATTGTTAATCAAAAGTTGGGCGGGGCGGTGGTGGTCTCCTTTGGAATAGTTTTCCAGAGTTGTTGTACCACACTTGAAAAGTCTGTGTCGTTTGTGCCTCACATGTTAAAGGGAAAGTGATATGATTGAGCTAGGGATACAAGGAAGCGTGTTCAGGATTAGGTGATCTCCCTGATACATTATAAAACTATATTGAGTGAATGTAATGTTTTAATATGTTTTAATGTGTTTTAAATTCTATTTTAAAATGTTTATTTTAATTGTACATTTTTTTAGGGCCTCAAATAGTTGCCTATGTGTAAAGCCGCCTTGAGTCCCCTTCAGGGTTGAGAAAGGGGTGGAGTATAAATATGGTAAATAAATAAATATTTGCATGTGTTACATTTTTCACAATTTAATGAGCTTCCAAAATTTGGGTTTTCTAAATAACTTAAAATATTTCATGAGTGTGCAGTAGTCTTAGAGGAAGTTCCTTAGGAATCTCTTGATTTTTCTCTTAGTAAAGCTTGCATTATTTTAATTTGAAATATCAGCAATTATTTTATTTATTTATTCATTTATTTATTTATTTACTATACTTGTATATCACCCCTCTCAGCCCAGAGGCGACTCGAGGAGGTTACATCTGGCAATCTAATGTCCCTAGGGAGGGCGTTCCATCGCTGGGGGGCCACCGCTGAGAAGGCCCTGTCTCTCATTCCCGCCAAACGGATCTGCGAAGAAGGCGGGGCCGTGTGTGACACACATATCCTGCATGCTCCCATTCCCACCTCAGCATAGTATCCAACCAAGGGCCCTTGACACAGCTTGTTTAACTGTTATGCACACTGGCCCCTTGCAGCTGCATTATCTCGTTTTTTTGTTTTCAGAACATAGGCTTTATCACTTAGCATGGGGTGAGTAAATTCCAATAATCAGGGGACCACATTGAACCCACTACATTTGTACTGCTGCATCTAAGGGTGCCTTGCTCACCACTGTTGCAAGAAAACATTCTTTAAGAAAATTTTGAAGTTCATAGTTTCCTTCCTTAATTATAGTCAACTTAGCACTTCAGAAAAACCTTTGGGGGTACAGATCTGCTTGTACACCAAATAAGAAGTGTGCTTTCCAATTAAAAAGGGGAGGGGGAGTAGAATTCTCTCCTAAGCCAAATAGTGGCTTTTTGCTACCTTTTTCAGAGAGAACCTGACAGTGCCTGCAAAAATAAATTGGGGGTGAGTGACTTCATGTGGACTACATGTTCTTCACCTTTGTCTTAAAAGAACAATCACAGCTGGAGGCTTTCTGCTACCTTGGCATTCTGACCAATTCCTGCAAGGACAGCTTTTCCATAAATGTTAATAGGTTGCTTTGTCTTGTTAGGCTTCTGAGCCGGGACTCTCCCAGTGGAGCACAAAAAGCTGTTCTGCGAAAGACTACCAACAGCAAAGGAGAGGAAAAGCAGTTCCTAGAGGTATGCCATTTTGCAGAAGGGGAGCAAGGATGTTTGCCTGTATCCCTTTAGCAATCGCATCTTGCACAAAGCCCTTTCCCTGGAGATGCTGTATTCTTTTATTCCTAGCTTAACATACAGTAGTTCTCTAGCCTTTTAAGTCTTGAAAACACTTCTTTTTTCCATCTCAGAGAGGCGGTTTTCTAGCACTTATATTTTTATGGCATTTGTTTCTTTTTAATGAGAGAAAAAAGAACAGGTTAATTGTGCTTTTGGGGGTCTTCTAATGGGGAAAATGTAAGGTACATGAAGAAAGGTGTCAAAGACCTAAACTGCATTATGCTTGTTTCACAGGTTTGGGAAAAGAGCCGCAAAGTGAAGAGCATTGAGTTGACCGCCCTGGAGAAGCATGGCCAAGTGTATGAAGATGGTAAGACTACAGTCTGCTAAAGCTTTTAAGATGCAAAAAATAGTGGGAAGCATATCCCAGCAACCTAAGCCAGCCCTCCTAATGCTGAGAAATCCTGGGATTTGAAGCCTAACTGCAGCCAGAGGACCACATGATTCTGATGTGCTAGAGAGCCAGCATGGTACAGTAGTCCCACAGTGTGGTCTTGAAAAACCTAGGTTCGTCCCCATTGAGCCATGAAACCTCACGGCTTTACTTTGGATGCTTCTTCACTGTTAGCCCAGCCTCGCTCACAGGGTTCTTCTGGTAGTAAAGTGGAGAGTAGCAGTGTTTTCCACCTTTGCAGCTTATCAGAGAAAAGGTGGAATATTAAAGGAGTCCTAAACCAAGCTTGTGTATTTGAAAAAGTGTCAGATAAATTGTCTAGGGTAAGAAAGGTGTAAAAGGATACTGTAGTCCCAAGGCTTTATATTGACAAAATTTGGTATGTACTTGAGTCTGTTGTTATCTTTTTCCCTTTGCTCAGATCAGTTTGGCTGCTTATCCTGGTCGCACTCCGAGACTCACCTTCTCTATGTGGCAGAAAAGAAACGCCCCAAGGCTGAGTCTTTCTTTAAACCAAAAGCCCCTGAGATGAGCAATGAAGAAGAACTGACCAAGGCAGAGCGACGAGACAAAGCTGTTAAGGTGGGATGTACAGTCTCATTTTCAACCTGTGTCCCAGTATTTCTGTTAGTGTTTCACAGGAAAGGCAGCTTGATAGGATAACTTGAGCATGATGCTGTCTGATTCCATCTTTCAGTGTGAACATCCTCTTAGTACCCTTGTAAGGCAAACCAGTTTTTTCTACCCTGTGCCTTACTTTCCAGTATATGGGTGGTCACACCTATTCTGACCTCCTAGTCTTTACTTGCAAGATTTTTTTGTTGCAAGCTACTTTCTTGGTCTCCATATAGCACGATACTACAGGCCTCACTGGGATAGCCATCTTTTCAGCCTATGAAGATTCATTCTAATATGACTTCTGTAGTTTCACTTATGCTTGGAATGTGGTGAGCCTGAAACTTGAATTGCATGTTTTGAATTAGTATCCACTCCCTGCAGCAACTGCCTTCTTGATATGGGTTGCTGTAGAAGAGACTGAGCTCCTTGCCTGCTCTTTGGGTGGGAAATTCTCTGAAGTCCTCAATGTCATGACCAAAGCCAAGCTAAAACCTGTTGATGAGAGTTCTGGCAATCAAATCAGTCAAGCAATAATTCCATTTCTGGATGCTCTCTGTGGACCCTTCCAGGCAGGCCCTGTATCCCAGGATCTGATCCCAGGTTTTCTGTTTATCCCAGATTATCTGGCAGTGTGGACTCATAATCCAGTTTAAAGCAGAAAACTTGGGATGAGATCCTGGGATGTGGGGCCTGTGTGGAAAGGCCCTGAGTCACAAGCGAGCTCTCCCTTAAAACCTTCTCCTTTGCTTTTCTCAGGGGGAGCAGTTTGTGTTCTATGAAGACTGGGGAGAGACCCTTGTGTCTAAGAGTGTTCCTGTGCTGTGTGTTTTGGACATTGAGAGCAACAACGTGTCGGTGCTGGAAGGTGTTCCAGAGCACATCTCCCCTGGACAGGTTAGTCAGTGCCTCTGCAGAGCTCATGATGTAGCTTAATTCATGGCCTGGTTTCTAGAACAACAGAAAACAAGTTTGTACTATATGACATTCCTTCAAATAATTAAATATGGTTATGTTGTTCCTCAGTATTCTCTTCTCCAAGATAAACATACCTACCTCCCTAAATTGTTTGTCTTATGGCTGGGGTTCTAAATCTTTTGTAATTTTGGTTGTACTTACCTGGGTATATTCTAACTGGTCAATATCCTAAAATTGTGGTGCTTAGCACTGGAAACAATATTCTAGATGAGATATGACCAAAGCAGAATTGTGTGAGATTACTTTAATCTGTCTGCACATATGATTCCACTAGAATTGCATTACATTAGCTTATTTGCCTCTTCACATTGCATTCCTTCTCCACTAGGCCTTCTGGACTCCAGGTGACACAGGAGTGGTGTTCACAGGGTGGTGGCATGAGCCGTTCCGTCTAGGTTTGAGGCATTGCACCCAGCGAAGGTGTGTTTTCTACCAGGGCCAATATGGATCCACATATGGCTTTATCCTATATATTATAAGACAGATAATGGCCTGAATGATGGGAAACTATACTTAAGAATATTCCACAGTCAATCTACTGCAGTGATGATCTGAGGCTGATGTAGTCTTGTTTGTCTGTAGGAAAGCATAGGGAACAGATTCTATAATACAGCCTTTCCCAACTTGATGCCCTTGTTGGATTGCAAATTCTTAAAACCACCATTTGACTGAGTACAATACATCTAGAGATCTAGAGGGCTGTCAAAAGCTGCTGTAATCTTATGACTAAGAAAGTACCATGTAGTTTTATACTGACTTGCACTTCCCAAAGTAGATGTGGACTCTTGTCCCTTCTAGGCCTATACGAGAAGTGCTTGGCTCCCTTGTCAGAAATAAATCAGCTACACCAAAGTAATTATATTTCTGTTCAGAAGCAAACTGAAACAAATTGCTGTCCATTCTTTGCCTGTGATCCTTCTCCCAAATTCACTGTTCCATGCTGTTTTGCCACATATCCATCATCCATAAAGATTTTTGTTCATCTTTTTTCTCCGTTCTAGATCAGCTGTCTTCTATGTGGACCTGACAGGTGGCCGTTGTGGTGAGAAGCCTATTCCTGTTACTTATTTCAGAGTCATTGGTTTGCCATAACACTGTTTCTTAATTCATTGCCTCCAATTCTATTGCAGAGCTTCTGACAGGTGACACCAAGGCCATTTGGTCTCCCCGCTTGAGTCCTGACCAATGTCGCATTGTATACCTAGAGAATCAAGCTTCTGGGCCCCACCAACAGTGCAGCCGCCTCTGCATGGTGAGTATTGCCTTCAAGCCTCAGTCATTTGTGCCACTGCTTCAGACCAAATGATTCCACTTGGAAGTTGGGCATTCCACCCGCACTCATGGCACTTTTTTGAAGAGGAGGCCAAACAGGCTCTTGCTTTCTACATAGAATCAAGAAAAGGTCTTTCACGTAGGAGGAGCCTCTGAGGTACTTCTAGGTTTACAAAACTTGAATAGGTGAGATCAGACAGAGATCTTTCAGGCTCTAAATTAATTTCATTCAATTATGATGACAAAAGCAGTTGGGAAGTACGTTTTTCTAGGATGTGGAAATGTGACTGGGAATATTTGCTAACAGAAATTGGCAGCATGTTGACTCTTTCCTGAACTTAGATGTGATGATTTAGCCCTCATAGATCACAATGCTTCACATTGTTGCTGTTTTTATCAGTTACACTGGAGAAGTCAATCAATCAATCAGTTTCTGTTAATGCTCCGGCCAATGGTCACATACATTTACACCGACAAAAACAACATCCAACAAGTGTCTATATAAACACTGGAAAATCCATCAGTTAAAAGCAAATGGGTGCAAGCAGGATGCAAGCAGGATAAAACAGAATGTAAGATTTACATTGTGAAGTGCAGTGACACGAGTATGGTGTGCACTAGGAACTGCACATTCACTGGTAAGAAACCAGTATAAAAAAATCTGAAGAAGTGTATACCCCCAGTTCTTCATGGGACATGTCCAGATGCTAAAAAAGGAATTTTTACTCCCCTATTTCTTTTTCTCACTACTTTTAACTTCTCTTTCAGTATGACTGGTACACAAAACTCACTTCTGTCATTGTGGAAGTTGTGTCTCGCCAGAGTCAAGGTGAGTTTATGGCAGATTTGAAAGGTGCTTGCTTGAGATTTGAGGAGATCCTATGAAACCCTTTATATGCATCAAGTGAGCAAAGTCAAATATTGTGACCCCTTTATAGTCAGCTTCTCAAAGCAAGTAAGTGGGGCCCCTTGAATAGTCCCATTAAGCTTATATCATGCAGTCCTGCTCTAAACATCCATGCATCTAATACAGACTTTGACATTACTTGGATTTTATACCCCACCTTTCGTCCAGAATGGGATCAAAGCAGCTTACAGGATACACTAAATTATTTTAATCAATATGTGTTACAAACAATCCAACTAAAATAGTATTTTAAGACTTTTAAAATAAAATAAAAATATATTAAACCCCTCACTTTTATAGCAGTCAAGGCATAGGTCCCTCCGAAAACGGACAAGCCACAAATTAAGGTAATTTTTAAACCTGATTGAACACAATTCTAGGAATCTCTAAATCCTCCAGGGCAAATGTATTGTGATATTCTGTCAGAAATTGACCATAGAGCTGTTCTGGAGAAACTAGAGATTCCTAGAAAGAACATATTGATCAAATCTGTGAATAATCAAACCTTAATGGATGTCTAATTGTATTATATATTCAGCACAACCATTGCACATCCTAACCATTTGAAGACTGAAGACCTGTTTAAATAGGAGACTTCACATGCTAGAGAGAACAGAAAGAGACCAAATCAGCCTCCCTTAGAAGGAGATTTATAATCTAGGAACAGCCACTTGATCTCACCAGAAGTGCGTGGGAACGTGATGAATTGGGATATCTGTGTGTGTGTGTGTGTGTGTGTGTGTATGCATGTATATAGGCCTCTGTGTAATCAGGGAACCCATTCTGCATCATTCACAAACATCTGCTTGCTGACATTCACCTGCAATATTCTGTGGCGAGAGGGTAGTATTTTACATTTGCAATGTTTTTAGGGATACAGGGGACTCCATAGTACATCTCCATGGCACATTTCCACTCATTTCTTTAAGTAACCTGGCTGAAGTCTGTAATGACTGAACCAGACATTAACTGGTGGAGTTTGCATCGGTGGCACCATGACTTAATTCCCAACTTGGTCCCTGTTTCTTGTCCCATCAGATGGACTCTGCTTGGGTGAATGTGTTGTATCTCTTGCAGGTGAATTTACTGGGATTTATAGCACAGCACTACCTGAGCGTTGTTGGGCGGCAGACAGCCAAAGGGTTGTTCTAGACACAGCTCAACGCAGTAGGCAGGTAAGGATGAACTGTAGAATACCTTGAGATTTGGCTGCACCAGGGTAAATTGGCTTATTTTGATTCCATTTGAACTGCCATTATAAGATTGCATAAAATGGTGGTTTCTAGTTTATGGAAGCACTATAGCTCTGTGACAGTGAATTCTTAAACTAGAGCCTTGGCCAAATCCGATTGTCTTCCAAGGGTACAATGTTGATGGTCGGGCTGTAGGTGACTGTGGAGGCCTATTCTAGATCCACCCAAATCCTGTCTAATCTTGGAAGTTAAGCAGAGTCAGGTCTGGTTAATACTTGGATGGGAGATCACTGTAGAATAAAGGTGCTATCAGCTATGTTTCAGCAGTGACAAACTAACTCTGAGTATTCCTTGCATATGAAATTCAAAGAGTTGCTATAAACCAACACATGACTGGAAGGCATTTGCACACACATAAACTTCAAATTCCCAGATTCCATAAGATGTTATGGCACTTAAGAGGGAATCATAGTACAATAATTGCATGGTGTAAAAGGTCCGTCACTCCAGCAATATTTGGAGGACCATAGTTAATCACCCCAACCTGAGAGGGATTGATGCATGTTAGTACTATGGAGTTTTGACCTCCTTTTTAAATTTATGGAACATGATGCCCCACATTTCTAGTTCAGCACTGAATCATTCAGCCATCTGAGCGGGAATCTTCTGTTTGTCTGCATCCTACAAATAGATCTGTCTCATTCTGTCTTTTCCTCTAGGAGCTGATTGTGATTGATACTTTGTCCAGCAGTGTCTGTTCTCTCACTAAGGGTAAGTGCTGGAAACCTTGCCCAAGGCCTCACTAATTAGATCCCCTTGGGAAGCACCCTGCTCAGCACCAAAGTCCCATGGCTAAATGCCAACATGTCAGGTCAGAAACAAAGTAGCGCAGGCTCTTCCCATGCCATCTAAATGTAGTAGACAGTAATCAGACTCTGTTCTTTACTAACCTAGGATGCTCCCTTGGAAGCTGGGCAATCCTCACCATTGACCGAGATCTGCTGGTGGCCAGATTCTCCACTCCAAACTGTCCACCCAAACTTGTAAGTGCCACACAATGAGAAAAGCTGTATTTAACATCCCACAATACTCTTGACCTGTGTTTCCTACAGTTACAATGATGCAATTTTTGTTATGAATCAACTTATACAATTCTGTGTAGGAAGTAATATGTACTAACCTAAACAAGCTGTCCCCCTTAACCTCCAATTTGAAAGATTTTGCATGTTCTGTCTATTTATGATTACAAGTCCTAGAGAGAAGATGCAGCTTACTGCAACACAGTGCTTAAACACTGAAGTGAAAAAGATTTGGCAGTCTGAATGTGAGACTGCAACCCCTTCAGCCCTGCCTAGCATAACCAGTGGTTAGGAATGCTGGGAGCTCTGATCCAACAGACATATCACATGCTCCTATACATAGCTTAGTCAATTCTTTGTAATTTTAGTGAGTCAGTATATGCTATGAGAAACACTGAAGTACAGAGATTGAGTGTGGTGTTATCTGTGGAATGACTTTTGCAGGGCCTTGCTGAAACAATAGAGGTTTTAGGGATTGTCAGGACCTAGATATAAGTGCTGCAGCAGAGACGGGGTTATTCATCCACCTGCAGGTACCTTTACTAAATCTTGCTAATATATTAGCAGTATTGATCTATCCCAGTTGACCCAGTCAATTTTAACTTGTATTTTATCAGTACATTTTGAGCTGCATTTTGTTGGGTGAGTGGGCTTATTAACAAAAGACCCTCCTCATAAATGCACAGCAGAGTAACTTATTAGCAGCAGCATGACCCATTACCAGTAGTCCATAGTGATAAAAAGAACAAACACACAGAGACTGATGCTATATCTTCCATAGGAGGTTTTTCTTTATAGCAAAATAATATGGTTGCACTATTTAGAAAAAGAAGGATTCCATAATACAAAGTTCTTTATACTTCCTTCTTTGCTTCCACACTGGGCTTCTTTCTCATGCAGATAAACAGCTTCACTCTCACAGAGCCTCTTCTCACACCAAACTTATACAGGAGCTTCACACAATAGCTTTTTACACTCAGCAGCTTTTTACACACAGCAGCCTTCATACTGGAGCTTTACACACAATGGCCTTCAATCTGGGGCTTTCTCTAACTGAAACTTCTCACACCAGGCCTACTCGAACTGAGACCTACTAACCCTGAGGCCTTTCTCCCACTGAGGACTTCTCACACTGAGGCGAACTAACACCGAGGCCTGCTCATACAGAGGCCTACTAACACACTGAGGCCCTTCACCCACAGAGACCTCTCACAGACTGAGGGTGAACTAACAGTGAGGACTCCCTCAGACTGACAGCTACTAAGCTACAGGCACACCTGCTTATATTGAGCTGCAGCTTTTGCTGAGTCATTGCATCCATTTAACCCTTTCAGTGCTTGACTCACATTTTTGTAATTAAAAATATCTAGTTGATTTTTAATATTTCTGGCACACATTTTACCTGTGTGTATTTGTTATACATATTTTAATAGTGTTTAGTTCTACTTTGCTGTTTTAACTATGTTGTACCCCGCCTTGAGCCATAAGGAGAGACTTGTAAATCATTATTATTATTATTATTATTATTATTATTATTATTATTATTATTCCATTTGGCCTATACCTATTTTTCTTTCCAAGTTCTGACACATTTAAAGGTGAATGCTTTAGTCAGAATTTCTTATTCACTTCTAGTGAATATCATAAATGGAGAGGTGTGCCCAGTGGGTCTGACTTCCTCTGTACCTTGTCTGAATATTATTTTCTGCTTTTGCAGATGGTGGCTTTCCTTCCTCCTGCTGGCAAGGAGGCTGAGATCAACTGGGTCTGTCTGGAAGAAGCCAGCCCGATTCAAGGCATCACTTGGGATGTCAGGGCATTCCAGCCCCCTCCAGAGCAAATCAACCCCCAGTATGGTGAGTGTCCAGTTCGGGAAAAAAATAGGGAGACTTTGTTCAGCCAGCATTGGTTTTCATTACCTCCTCTGGGCTGTACGTACAGTCTGCATATCTCTCACATGACCTACACATTATGATCTGTTTTCACAGAGGGCCTTGATTTTGAAGCCATCCTACTCCGGCCAACTCAAATTCCAGAAACAGGAAAGATCCCATTAGTGGTGACGCCACATGGTGAGTCCCTCTCCCATCCTCTCATCCAGGGCATGTGATCATTCATGCACCATTTGTTTTAGTATGGCTCCATATTCTTTCTGTCCTTCTCAGGGGGCCCACACTCAGTATTTACCACCAGTTGGTCACTGTACCCAGCAGTACTCTGTCGGATGGGTTTTGCTGTATTATTGGGTGAGTAAACTATTTTTTTAACATCTCCTTACCTTTTGCTTCAATAGGATCCCATAAGTGCAAGAGCAGGGAAATTTGGAGCAAGAGCTGCATCATTAGCATGGGCATCTTTCAGCAGTTAGGCTTCAGAGTATAGACAGCTTTGGGCAATAAAGATTGTAGCATTTTTCAAACTAGAACAGTCCAAAATCCTCAGAAAATCTGAGGCTTCCTGACAAGATAACTTCCCTCCAATAGAAAAAATATTCCCATGTCAAGTGATTAATTCATTGGACTCATCTGGTTAGGCAAATCAGGCTAAGCCCCAAGCTTAGAGCCTAGTAACATCTTGTCAGACTCTAATTTTGAGACTTTCAAGGAACTGCTAATGATTTCAATAACATTTTTTCCTCATAAGTGAATTATCGAGGATCACTCGGCTTTGGCCAGGACTGTGTAGATTGCTTACCAGGGAATGTGGGCAGCCAGGATGTCAAAGATGTGCAAGTAAGTGGAACTCCATCTGCCTTTTTGTACATCCCCACAATGTAAGTGTGAATAATTCATGTCTCCTCACCAGAGAAAGAGAGCATGGAATGAGACTCAGGCTAGTCCTTCTTGTTATGGTGTGCTTTCCGACATTTCCGACTTGTGGTGACCCTAAAGAGAACCTATCATGAGTTTATTTTTGGACAGGTTTTGTTCACAGGGGTTTTGCCCTTGCCTTCCTCTGAGGCTGAGAGATTATGGCTTGCCCCAAATCAACCAATAGGTTTCATGACTGAGCAGAGATTCAAACCCACTTTACCACCCCCAAATATGCATCCAGTATTTCTGTGTTCAATTTACAGGGCCCCGTCACATGTTATCTAGGGAACAGATAAGTGGATTGTTTTATTTCTGTGCCAATGCCTTGTCCCAATGTGCACCTATCATGCTATCCCCCCTTGAATTGTTGCATCTCTCTTCACTCCTTTTCAGTTCTGTGTACAGAAAGTACTACAGGAGGATCCTTTGGATCCACAGAGAGTGGCCTTGCTCGGTGGCTCCCATGGAGGCTTCCTATCCTGCCATCTCATTGGCCAATATCCTGAAACTTACAAAGCCTGTGTGGTCAGGAATCCTGTGGTCAACATAGCCTCTATGGTTGGAAGCACTGACATCCCTGATTGGTAAGCACTCCAAACCGGCACACTTCCATCTTCAAGACAAGCTGGAAGCTCCTGCTCTTATTTGACCTTTGACATGCTGTTGCTTGTAGGTGCCTGACTGAGGCAGGCTTGGCATATGACCAGGCTGCTTTGCCAGATCCTGCACAATGGATAAAGATGCTGCTCCATTCACCTATGCAGTATGTTGATAAGGTACAGAATCCCCCCTGCCCAGATTACACCCACAAAAAACACCATTGTTTTCTCAACTTTACTTGCCAACACTTGTTCTGGTGGCCACCTAACTTGTTCTTTCCCCCCACAGGTTCAAGCACCTGTTCTCTTAATGATAGGAGAAGATGATAGACGTGTACCTCCCAAGCAAGGTTTAGAGTATTATCATGCTCTCAAGGCCAGGGGAGTTCCAGCTCGGTAAGCAAGCTTGGAAAGAAATGCCAAAGAAAGCAAGTTGGGTGGTTTTCATGGAGGCGAAGAGACTGTAAATATATGGGACTGTAACAGAAGAGAGAAAGGTCTGTGGGGGGGGGGGGGGATATTTGCTGGGAGTGGTAGCAAGAAGTTCTTAACTATATTAATACTCATAATGGTCTGTTTCCTTTCCTAGGATGTTGTGGTATCCAGGAAATAACCATGCACTATCTGGTGTGGAGGCTGAATCAGATGGCTTCATGAATATTGCACTCTGGCTGATCAAGCACCTGAAATGATGACAACACTTCACCTTTTGTAGTCCTTCTCTGTTAAGCAGTGTGGCTAACAAACTGAGATCAAGGTCCAAACAGCCACTGCTCTTGAGAATAGGTACATGAGAGTGGCTGGGGTACAGGCCTACTCTGTTGTAGCAAAGGCCATGTACTTTTTGCCAAATCTTGCATTCTTACAAGTAGTTCCACCATAATAGATAGCTATATATAATCTGATAATATTAATGATTTTTTGTTGTTGTTAATGCTAGTGTTTGGAAGCTCCAAAGACTCTAGCTGCAAAAAAATAATGAATAAAACATTTGATTAAAGTTCTTTCCTAAAAACTGACTTGCAAAGAAATGGTGGGAATTTCTAAACCTGAAATGACTGGGACACACACCCACTAGTTAAATACTTCATCTTCAGGATAGAGAGTATCAGATATTTTTGGCATAGAAAAGGTAGCGGCATCGTCCACTTGTAGAGTGGGTTCACCTCATGTGCCTAGTTTCCAGCAGACCCCTCAACCTCTGAGGATGCTTGCCATAGATGTGGGTGAAATGTCAGGAGAGAATGCTTCTGGAACATAGCCATACAGCCCAGAAAACTCACAGCAACCCGGTTCAAAAATACTTTATCTAAAATAGTGCAATCAATTTTTTCATTTTTTTAAATAAAAAGGTAGATTTGCAATGTAGGCTGAACTGACAATTTGAGATTATTTGATATTCCCACCCTCTAGTCTATAGCTACATATAGATATTACCAAGACCCAAATCTTGACCTGGTCACTTTATTTTTGTTTGATCAGTGATTTTGCATACATCCTTTTTGCTGGACAAGGAAACGTATGAGTCTCTTGTCTCAAAACAAGATTTCTGCTTGCAGATCAGTCATAATTTTGACTTGTCCTTCAACACACACACACACCCTACCCCAGGTTTTGGGGAAATTGTTTATTTGTTTAGGGGCTGAATTTTATGTAGCTTTTCTTGTGTACTTTTAACATTCAAATAGAGAAAAGTTGATGAAGAATGGACTGATATAGGCTGACTTCATACTGCCTACAGCTAGCACAAACTAGTAGTATGTAAGGAAGTGCCCAGGTAAAAAAATATTACACTGCTACATGATAACAACATCTCAAAGGCCACCTAACCGCCATCAAAGCTGCAATCTTATGTGTTGTATTCAAAACTGAGAATAATTCCTAAATTTCAATGTAGGAGTTAACCTTGATGTGAATATTTATAAAACTGAGATGTATAGCTATTACTTCTCAAAGTGGAATAAGGATTCATGCTTTTATCTTACTTGTGCATTGAAAAATAATTTTCGACAGGGTATAGTTAACAATAAGAAAAGTGTGTGTATAAATCTGGGAGCTATTGTTCTAGAATCATGTCTTGCAAAGGTACAGAACTCCAAACAATCAGCATTTCAAATTCCATAATTAAAGAAAAATAGGTCTATGTAGATGGCAAAAGGAGAGGAAACAGTAACTTTGACTTTGTATTTAGAACCAGTTTTGTGAGCAGGTGAGTTATTGTTTATCATGGCGATAAGCTTTGGAGAAAGGAAAATCAAACTAATTCAACCGTGCTTAGAAGAAAGTCTATTCTAACTATGGAGTTCAGATTCATTTCAGTTTTTTTTCTTTTAAAAATATATATGCTGAAAGCCTCAAAGCCATGTATGAGGTTCCTACCCACACAATTTATTTCCTCATTTCTGTGAAAGTGAACCAATGCTTGTCTTATACTGCTATATAGATAGCAATGCCCTTATTTGGAGCTGGGGCACTTTCTTGGCAAAAGCAAATCCAGACTTTCAGCAGCTTAGTCATTTCTAGATGCCAGGGATCATGACAAGGACACGAGGTTGCTGTCACGCATCTTCTTCTGCCTCCTTTTGGGCACCCTTTTGTTAGTTTCCTTAATTTAGTTACCGTTAACTGGATTATATCCAATATTGCATGGATAAGTACCAAATACTCAAAGAGGGGCTCATGGGGCCTGCTGTTACCTTCCCTGGCCTTTTGTAGCTCAGATATCTTAGCAGCAATGCTCCAGAAAACCTTTCAAAATTCTTAATGAATTGCAGCAAATTCCTGGTCCTTTCCATGCCGTACAGGAATACCTGGCCGCTCTAAATGAGTTCAAGTCCCCAGGGCCAGATCAACTACACCCAAGAGTATTGAAGGAACTAGCGGAAGTCATTTCGGAACCATTGGCAACCATCTTTGAGAGTTCTTGGAGAACAGGAGAAGTTCCAGCAGATTGGAGGAGGGCCAATGTGGTCCCAATCTTCAAGAAGGGAAAAAAGGACGACCCAAACAACTACCGTCAGGTCAGCCTCACGTCGATACCAGGCAAGATTCTGGAAAAGATTGTTAAGGAAGTGGTCTGCAAACACTTAGAAACAAATGCAGTCATCGCTAATAGTCAACATGGATTTATCAAAAACAAGTCATGCCAGACTAATCTGATCTCTTTTTTCGATAGAGTTACAAGCTGGGTAGATGCGGGGAATGCCGTGGATGTATCGAAGAAGATCAGGTCGGCTTTTTGCCAGGAAGACAATTAAGTGATAATATAAGAACAGTTATTAATGCTATTGATTATTACGAAAAGAACATCCAAAAAGAAGCTGCTCTCATGTTTTTAGATGCCGAAAAGGCATTCGATCAAGTTAACTGGGACTTCATCATATGCTTATTCAGAGAAATGGACATAGGTTATCAATATCTAAATGCCATTACTTCCATCTACACCCTACAGCAAACAAAACTAGTCATTAACGCTCAGCACTCCGACAACATAGAAATTCAAAAGGGCACTAGACAGGGATGTCCCTTATCCCCTATACTCTTTATAACAGTACTAGAAGTGCTTCTGCAGAGAATCACGGCCAACAAGGAACTGAAAGGACTGAAAGTAAAAGGACATACATTTAAAACAAGGGCATTCGCAGACGATATTGTCTGCTTCATAGAAAACCCAATAGAAGATATCAATAAATGGTTGAAAGAAATATCGGACTTTGGTGAGGTCGCAGGATTTAAAATAAACAAAGAAAAAACACAGATAATAACTAAAAACATGAACAAAAACAATAAGGAGAAATTACAGAACATCTCAGGAATTAAAATAATAGGGGAAACTAAATACCTAGGAATAACAATAGCAACAAACAATGCCCATTTAATAAAAAACAATTACGAAAAGAAATGGAAAGAAATAAAGAAAAAAATTAACTCCTGGAACTCGTTAAATCTTTCCTTATTAGGCAGGATTGCCACAATAAAAATGAATGTCCTACCAGACGCCTTATTCCTGTTTCAATCACTACCGGTTCTAAAATCAAAAACCCTCCTTAACAACTGGCAAAAAGAAATCTCCAAATTTATTTGGAAAGGTAAAAGACAACGAATAAACCACAAGAATATGATCGACGACAAGAAAAGGGGGGGCTTGTCTCTCCCCGATTTACAACTCTACTATGAAGCAGCATCACTAAGGTGGATAAAGGATTGGGCGACCCTGAGCAAACGCAAAATACTAACCCTGGAGGGGTTTGACTTACGCCAAGGCTGGCACGGCTACTTATGGAGAGGCAAAGCAGAAAAGGAGAAGTGTTTTAAAAACCACCCAAGTAGAGCCGCACTTTTAAGAATCTGGGACAGATACAAAGACAGACTCTATAGTAGAACTCCCCTTTGGTTCTCCCCTAATGAAGCCCAACATCTGAGAGACCTACCCAGGGAAAAATGGCTTACCTACGCCCAGCTTCTGAAAAAAGATTCTCGAGGAATGAAATTAAAATCCCAGGAAGAACTTAAACATCTTGATAAATCTATCTCCTGGTTCCAGTACCAACAAATATTAGAGAATTATAAAATTGACGCTAAAAAGGGATTCCAGGTACAAGAAACTTTCTGGGATAAAATAATAAAGGTCGAGACCAAGTTGATTAAAAGAACATATCAACAATTGTTGACTTGGGCAACGGAAACAGAACAAGTCAAACAAAATATGATCCAGTGGTCTAGAGATATAGGCAGACCGATAAATATGTCAGAGTGGGAAGAGGTTTGGCGCCAAAAAATCAAATACACATATTCAACTGAGATGAAAGAAAACTGGTATAAGTCATTTTATAGATGGTATTACACACCTGACAGGATATCTAAGTTTAGCAAAGGGAAAGTCAAAAATACATGTTGGAAATGTGGGAGAAACAAAGGAAGCTATATTCACACATGGTGGAAATGTAGAAAAATAAAAATTTTCTGGCAAGAAGTTAATAAAGCGATACAGACAATATTGGGGGAAAAAATAAAACTCAAACCAGAAGCGATGTTACTGGGAATCATAGACCCCCTCCAAAATAAAAATTCAGACAAATTGTTTTTCTATTTTACCACCGCGGCCAGAACAGTCATAGCGAAGGTCTGGAAATCTAGAGAAATCCCCACAATAGACCAATGGGTGTTAAAAGTATGGGACATAATGAATATGGATATCTTAACCTACAAAATATCTCAGAACGTACCCAAACCACCTAAAACTAATTGGAAAAGTTTCATAGACTATATTAAAAGATTCAATAAAGAAATTAATATCAGTATGGAATAAAGAGAAATCTCAAGGGAACGATGTTAACTATCCGACGCATGATAAAACAAGGACAAGCTACTGCCCACCATGAAGATAACTGTCCAGAGTATCCTGGAAGTACTTTTAATGTCACTAGGGGTATTACAGGGTGGTGGGTGTTGGTGGAACTGAGATTCACAAATTGCCCCCCCCCCCGATAACTCAACCCCAAGATTCAAAACACCATATTGTTTCCACTATTTAGAGATGGAAATAGTACATGATACGTAACAGCAGAAATAAACATCCAATATAAGAAATGGAAGAAAAGAAGATTAACCCTTTCTCGAAAATGTAAGAAAGTAAAATAGTAGAAAGCGTACTTAATTAAGGGGGGAGAAACAGGGGAGACAATCTAGTTTAAGAAAGATATGTATAGGCGCCAATTCAATGTTATGCACGAATATCTTGTTTCGTTTAGTGTTATTTTGTCTGTCTTGTCTGTCACTCACACATGTACTTTGTTAAATGTTTATTATATGTTTATTATCAATATAAAACCAATAAAACAAATTTAAAAAAAAAAAGGAAGTTGTCTGCAAACACTTAGAAACAAATGCGGTCATCGCTAATAGTCAACATGGATTTATCAAAAACAAGTCATGCCAGACTAATCTGATCTCTTTTTTCGATAGAGTTACAAGCTGGGTAGATGCGGGGAATGCCGTGGATGTAGCGTACCTGGATTTCAGTAAGGCCTTCGACAAGGTCCCCCATGACCTTCTGGCAAACAAACTAGTCCAATGTGGGCTAGGCAAAACTACGGTGAGGTGGATCTGTAATTGGTTAAATGGACAAACCCAGAGGGTGCTCACCAATGCTTCCTCTTCATCCTGGAAAGAAGTGACGAGCGGAGTGCCGCAGGGTTCCGTCCTGGGCCCGGTCCTATTCAACATCTTTATTAATGACTTAGATGAAGGGTTAGAAGGCAGGATCATCAAGTTTGCAGATGACACCAAATTGGGAGGGATAGCCAATACTCCAGAGGACAGGAGCAGGATTCAAAACGATCTTGACAGATTAGAGAGATGGGCCAAAATTAACAAAATGAAGTTCAACAGTGACAAATGCAAGATACTCCACTTTGGCAGGAAAAATGAAATGCAAAGATACAGAATGGGTGACGCCTGGCTCAAGAGCAGTACGTGTGAAAAAGATCTTGGAGTCCTCGTGGACAACAAGTTAAACATGAGCCAACAATGTGATGTGGCGGCAAAAAAAGCCAATGGGATTTTGGCCTGCATCAATAGGAGCATAGTGACTAGATCTAGGGAAGTCATGCTACCCCTCTATTCTGCTTTGGTTAGACCACACCTGGAATATTGTGTCCAATTCTGGGCACCACAATTCAAGAGAGATATTGACAAGCTGGAATGTGTCCAGAGGAGAGCGACTAAAATGATAAAAGGTCTGGAGAACAAGCCCTATGAGGAGCGGCTAAAGGAGCTGGGCATGTTTAGCCTGAAGAAGAGAAGGCTGAGAGGGGATATGATAGCCATGTATAAATATGTGAGAGGAAGCCACAGAGAGGAGGGAGCAAGCTTGTTTTCTGCTTCCCTGGAGACTAGGACGCGGAACAATGGCTTCAAACTACAAGAGAGGAGATTCCATCTGAACATGAGGAAGAACTTCCTGACTGTGAGAGCCGTTCAGCAGTGGAACTCTCTGCCCCAGAGTGTGGTGGAGGCTCCTTCTTTGGAAGCTTTTAAACAGAGGCTGGATGGCCGTCTGTCAGGGGTGATTTGAATGCAATATTCCTGCTTCTTGGCAGGGGGTTGGACTGGATGGCCCATGAGGTCTCTTCCAACTCTTTGATTCTATGATTCTATGATTCCTTCTGTGTCCTAGAAAACCCTCCTCTTTGGAATTTCAATATTCATTCTTTTTGAGAAAAAAAATTCAGAATGTTAACTTTAATCCCATACATCTGAGCTGCCAAATATTTTGTAACCAGTCTAGTTTTTGTAGCCTTGACTGGCACGGCAACCTCGAGCCCATTCAAATTGACAGCCCTTGGATCGGACATATGGCTTAGTATGCCTGTGCAGCGTGCCAGAAGCCTTGCCAAAATACCGGTAGATTTCCCGGGCTTTCCTGGGCCCAGAAAGCAATACTGTCCCCTGGCCTTTAGCGGCAGCCATAGCTAACTGGTCAAAAGTCATGATCTGGCCTCCAGATTTCAGGATTCGAGTGTGAGCACCCTTTGTCACTAAGGGCGGAAACCTTCAGTTTGAGAATCTCCTGGATGCAGACGTCATCTGCCATTGTACCCACCACAACAGTGGTTTTGTTTTTCCACCTTGGGAGCTTCATCTTCTGGATCAAGCGGGACACCAACAGTGGAGGTCGTCTGGTGTGGTTCATGAACAGATACTTGAGTATCACCTTGTTGAACTTGGCATTGGTTCGTCGAGCAAGTAATCTGTAGAGCTTGACCAGGAGGCAAAGGTAAATATCTTTGCTCTTGGGCTCCTTATGCCAAACCCTCTGAACCTTGTGACGAACGTCTACTCCCATGGTGGTGACGGCAGCTTCCAGAAAAGAAAGTTGTGTCGACCATGATGCCTCCATGTGTTACAGCAGGCGCTTTTCTTCCAGGAGGCCCCCTTCCACTTGGAATTTCAACTTTTTCAACTTCAAACTGGAAATTGCTGTTCCAATTACTCTCCTGTCACATTTTAAGACATCTACAATAAATCCCTGATCAGTTATTATTGCCAGTTATCTTGCTTCTGCTGAATATTGGCCTGAAACTATAGTTTGGATAACAGCTGAAAATATTGTTGGATTTTGCGATGCCATGTGTGTGTGTGTGTGTGTGCGCGCGCGTGCACTGAAAGCCTCAAAGCCACATATGAGGTTCCTACCTACACAATTTATTCTCTCAATTCTGTGAAAGTGAACCAATGCTTGTCTTATACTGCTGTATAGATAGCAGTGCCCTTGCTTGGAGCTGGGGCACAATCTTGGCAAAAGCAAATCCTGACTCTTAGCAGCTTAGTCATTTCTAGATGCCAGGGATCATGACAAGGACACGGAGTTGCTGCCACAAGGCTTCTTCTGCCTCCTCCTTTGTCACATATCCTCTTGCACTTATAATGGGCTAGCTTCAACCTTTTTGCTATCTTGACAGGCAGTGGGTGGGTGATATACAAAAATGACCTGAAGAATCTAATCCTTCACACAATAGTTATAATACCACGAGCCCACTAATCCTGGGAGAGATTGGCCGGAAGCACTAGGGCAGTGGTTCTCAACCTGTGGGTCCCCAGATGTTTTGACCTACAATGCCCAGAAATCCCAACCAGTTTCCCAGCTGTTAGGATTCCTGGTAGTTGAAGGCCAAAACATCTGGGGACCCACAGGCTGAGAAACACTGCTCTAAAACTGCAAATAAGATGTTGCCATGTCAATTAAAACAGAACAATTGGAACACAATTGTGTAGTGTGGCACAAAAGATTTCATGTCAGTGGTATATGTATATGACAAGTTAGGAAGCAATGTTGCTAGTTGCACACTGAGCGGTGAGAGCTGAAATACCCCTCCTACGGTGAGGGTGCCTCCCTGAAGGCCAACTCCTGGGATCCCAGGGTATTGAGCCCAGGTAGGGTGCGCAAGAAGGGTCGGGCTGGAATCCTACAAGGCTGTCCTAGAACATGGGAGGAAGCAGAATGCCCTAGGGTAGTATTTCTCAACCTTCCTAATGCCTCGATGCCTTAATACAGTTCCTCATGTTGTGGCGACCACCAACCATAATATTATTTTCATTGCTACTTCATAAGTGTGATTTTGCTACTGTTATGAACCGTAAGGTAATATCTGATATGCAGAATATATTTTCATTCACTGTACCAAATTTTGCACAAATACCCGATACACCCAAATTTGAATACTGGCGGGGTTGGGGGGATTGATTTTGTCATTTGGGAGTTGTAGTTGCTGGGATTTATGGTTCACCTACAATCAAAGAGCATTCTGGACTCCACCAGTGATGGAATTGAACCAAAATTGACACACAGAAGTCCCACGAGCAACAGAAAATACTGGAAGGGTTTGGTGGACATTGACCTTGAGTTTGGGAGCTGTAGTTCACCTACACCCAGAGAGCACTGTGGGCTCAAACAATGATGGATCTGGACCAAACTTGGTATGAATCCTCAATATGCCCAAATGTGAACACTGGTGGAGTTTGGGGAAAATAGACCTTGACATTTGGGAGTTGTAGCTGCTGGGAGTTATAGTTCACCTACAATCAAGGAGCAGTCTGAACCCCACCAATGATAGAATTGAGCCAAACTTCCTACACGGAACCTGATGGCCAAAAAAATACTGTATTTTCTGATGGACCCCTCTGACACCCCTTCGCGACCCCCAGGTTGAGAAACTCTGCCCTGGCTAGGGCATGGCCCAGGAGGGAATTTGGCCTGCATCAATAGGAGTCTAGATCCAGGGAAGTCATGCTACCCCTCTATTCTGCCTTGGTTAGTCCACACCTGGGATATTGTGTCCAATTCTGGGCACCGCAATTGTAGGGAGATGTTGACAAGTTGGAATGTGTCCTGAGGAGGGCGACAAAAATGATCAAGGGTCTGGAGAACAAGCCCTATGAAGAGCGGATTCAAGAGCTGGGCGCGTTTATCCTGAAGAAGCGAAGGTTGAGAGGAGACATGATAGCCATGTATAAATATGTGAGAGGAAGCCACAGGGAGGAGGGAGCAAGCTTGTTTTCTGCCTCCTTGTAGACTAGGACGCGGAGCAATGGCTTCAAACTACAAGAAAGGCGATTCCATGTGAACATGAGGAAGAACTTCCTGACTGTGAGAGCCGTTCAGCAGTGGAACTCTCTGCCCCGGAGTGTGGTGGGGGCTCCTTCTTTGGAAGCTTTTAAACAGAGGCTGGATGACTATCTGTCGGGAGTGCTTTGAATGCAATTTTCCTGCTTCTTGGCAGGGGGTTGGACTGGGTGGCCCTTGAGGTCTCTTCCAACTCTAGGATTCTATGAAGCCAGAAGAGGGAAGCCCCACAGCAGGCAGGAAAGCGTTGGCCTTCCGCCACTCCTTCCCTCAGCTCCCCGCCCAGGCCTTTTTCTGGAAGCGGAGCCTCCTCCCTTCCTCTCTCTCTCTCTCTCTCTCTCTCTCTCTCTCTCTCTCTCATGGCTGGCAAAAGCGAGGAAGCGGAGGGAGAACCGGGGCCAGGCGGGGAGAGCCACTTGCTGCGCCCCTCGCAAGGCTTCCAAGGCGGCCCTTTTCCTCCCCAGGCGCCCTTGGCCGCCGTGTACCAGGCGCTGGGCTGCTTCCCTTCCGTGTCGTCTGCCTGGCTGGGGGCAGGCTTCGTGGGCGGCGGTGGCGAGATCCAGTACCTCCCCCTGTTCACGGGTGAGCCGCTCCGCAGGCCTCTCCGCAAACTACACATCCCAGCACTCCGTACCGGCTGTTAGGAATGGTGGGAGTTGAAGTCCAAAACACCCGGAGGGAGGGCCGAAGTTTGCCCATGCCTGGCCTTGAGCACGGCTTAAAAGGGTCCCAAACAAATAATGTCTGCCCTTTTGTGTTGTTCAAAATYTTGGTGACCTTAGCAAACCATGCCTTCGTAGTCCCCTGGGCCTTGGGCTAGTAAAGTGAAGAAGACCTTAGTCCAGTCTTGTGGGGATTCACATGGGTTATGGTTATTATTACACTATGTAACAAAATTTGGGGGGGGGGGGGACTGCTCTCAATTTGGAAGTGTTATTTCCTTGTTTAATTGTGCTCTACTTACTTTGAAAGTAGTTGTTATATCCCAGATACGTCATTTTTGTGGCTGTTACCAGCTAGGTTGAATTGGTTGAAACTCTATGCCAGTGGTTCTTAGCCTGTGGGTCCCCAGATGTTTTGGCCTTCAACGCCCAAAAGTCCTAACAGCTGGTAAACTGGCTAGAATTTCTGGAAGTTGTAGCCAAAACACCTGGGGACCCACAGGTTGACAAACACTGCTCTATGAGATATTCTTTTTTTAAAAAAAAAAAAACTATAGCAAAAGGTGTTCTGGTTTTTGTTTTGTTTTTTGTTTTTTTGTTCTTGTTTTTTGCATTTTAATCCACCTTTTCCATGTTTTTTTTATGATAGAACCAATTAAGAAATGGCATTTGTAACCCAGTCTTGCCAAGGAAACCCTATGACCCTATGACAAGTATTTTTGATCTCCGTGTGCCCAATCCTTGTTTAAACGTCTTCAAAGAGAATGTGACCACCTCTATCCAGTGTAGTTTGTTCCACTGTTCCACTGTTGAGCAGCTTTTCCTTTCCTAATGTTTCATCCAGATCTCTTTTCTGCTAATTACAATTTATTGATTTGGATCCTATCCTCTGGGGCAGCAGAAAACAAACTTGGTCTGTTTTCTCCAAAACAGCCCATCAGATATTTCAAGCTGACTGTCACATGTCATCTCAATATTTTCTTCTCCAGGGAAGCATACTTGACTCCGGGCTCTTCCACACAGTCATATAACCCAGAATATCAAGACAGAAAATCTCACAACATCTGCTTGGAACTGAGTTATCTGAGTCCACGCCGCCATATATTTCATTTCAAAGCAGATAATGTGGGATTTTATTCAGCTGTGTGAAAGGGGCCTCCCTTAACCATTTGCCATAGAAGTTAGCTTCTAGGCACTTTGTCAGCCTGATCACTCTCTAGACATTTTGCACCATGTCCACAACCTCCTTAAATTATGGTATCAAGAACTGAATGCACAACTCTAGGGGAGATATGATTGAAGCAGATAAGAGGGATCTTTTTCTGCTTTTCCCCACAATCTGGAAATGAGTTCTGATGATATTTGTATATTTGTATGTTTTAAATTGTATTTCAATGTTCCAAAAGTGGGATATAAATCATCATCATCATCATCATCATCATCATCATCATCATCATCATCATCATCATACAGTATAGAATCCCATTGGCTTTGCTTGTTTTTTACTATGTCATCATAGTGTTGACTTATGTTTAACTTGTAGTCTATTGAGACCCCTAAACCTCTTTTACATGTACTGCTATCAAGCCAGGCACCACCCAACCACTCATCCTATAATTGTGCATGTGAATATTTTGCTTGGATAAACCTTGCATTTCTTCCTGTTGACATTCATTTTGTTAATTTTGGTCATATTCTCCAATCCAGTCAGGTCATTTTTGACTCAGAGACTATTGTAATACCTTGTAAGTCTTGTGTCCCTTGCAAATTTGTTAGTGCACCCTCTATTCCTTGATATAAGTCCATTATAATAATTAATGGTCCCAAGCCAGAATCCAGAGTCACTTTCTTAAGGATGACCAGGAAGCACTGATGAGCACTTTTTAGATTCAAACTGTCAACCAACTACGCATCCATCTAGCAGTCCCATGGTCTCTAACCTACATTTCACCACATTTTGTTACTTTAAAAACCTTGCTAACCAATACTGCATTTCAGACATAAGAAGAGATTGACCCCTAAATACATGTGTGACTACTAAGTGCATGTATGTGCATGCATATGTGTGTCAGTATGTACAATATCAGCAAAGAAGTATACTGCTTGGAAGTAAAGGCTTCCAGAATTCTTACGTGTGCTATTTGCTTGCCGCTTCATTTCTGATGAGCTACACTCTATAAATTTAGAATGCATGCTTATCTTTAACAGAATTAATTGTTCTCTCCCACCTCATTAACTCTAACATAATACATTTTATGTAAATCAATTTCCCCCTCAGATCAGATGTTCCTTGTAGTGCTCATCTTCTGTGTCTGAATTGCGATAAACCTATTCATGTGCTTTCAATTACAATCACTATGGCCTTTTTGCTTTCTTAACTGTGTGACTTTTCTCCACATTTACACGTAGATCACTATCAATCTATACAATCACAGACTGCAATATATAGGTGGGAATTTCCTTACTCAGAAACTCAATCTGCATATGTTTTCTGATTTTTTCTTCTTCCTTTCTGCAGAATGGTGCCAACCTGATCTTGAGCGCTGTCAGCTGCTGCAGTTCAGGCGCCAGTATATCCTTCATTATGATGGCAAAGCGGTTGTCTCAGTCACTCCTTTCGGTTTGCCAGCTGAGATCCAAAATCAGTATGTAGAACATCCAGTTCTCCCCAATATGTGTAACCATACATGAGAAATTCGAGCCAAGTTTGTCTGGGATTCTTGGGGAGCGAGGTCTTTGTGTGTGTGATTAACCTGTCACATATAAGGATGGGCCTTATAAGAAGGATACTTTGAGGTGACATCTGTTAGATTCATGTGCACACGTTTGCAGGTTGTGCCTCTCTGGGCAAAAAGCTTTCACAGACACACAAGTTGTAATCTTTAAGCCAGAGTTGGGAAAGAACTACATGTGGGTCAAACTTTAGTTTTCATCCTCTTCCTTGATTGGAAGATTTTCCCTGAGAAGGTGAAAGTATTAGGCTTTTGGTTATCTTTTTATGTAAAGATAATAATAATAATAGTAATAGTAATAATAATAGTAATATTAATAATCTTTATTTGTACCCCACCACCATCTCACCGAAGGGGACTTGGTGCGGCTTACATGAGGCCAAGCCCAAAACAACAATTACATAAAATAAAACCGAAAATGCAAATAATGAACAATAATAATGCAATTACATAAAACAAATGAAAACAAAACAATATAAGATTACAATAAGCACAGTCACAATAACATGGGCAAGTTACATGTAATGGATAAAAGAAAAGCTGATTAAAAGCAGATTAAAAACTCAGGCGAGATAAAACAGATACATTGGAGTCAGCTCTGCTGCTTATGCTGTCCCCTCCTGTCTCTTGTGCTGCAGGCTGATGATCAAAATGTCACCCACTGGAAGGCATAAGGCTATTCTGACTCACCACTTTGAGAAGGGACAGAAACAAGAAGTGCTGGAGGTAAAATAGCGTATTTTATCCATATTGTCCAGAGCATGGGTGGAGATGGTGTGGCCCCTCAAATGATGTTGAACCACAGTCCCCAGCATCCCTCACCATTTTTTCCTAGCTAGGTGTTCTTGGAGTCAGAGTTCAGCAACATCTGGAGGGTCACACATTTACCACCTTTAGTCTAGAGCAAGAGTTGGCAAAATTGACAAACTTTTGTCTTTCTTGAGAACCCACAAATCCCCTAGATATCTCTACCCCACCAATACAGAATCCCATAATGCCGAAGTATATCAGTTTTTTTAAAGTGAGTGTAGTACTTCTGCATTCACTTTCAAAATGGCAACAGAAGAAGACTCACCTTCACTTTCTGTGAAGGTGAGAGGCCTGCAGAGAAAATGCCTGTTTTCACTCACACTCATTCTCAAAATAGTGCCAGAAGAGATTGGCCTTCACCTCCTGTTACAATATTGTGAATGATAATAGAGATATTTGGACTTCCTTTGGAGTACATGTGTGGAACCTGTGGGGAGATCATAAAAGGAGTAAGCATTGTCCATTTCTGACATGTCAGCTGTATGAGTTATAGATCTGTAAGAGGTTAACTGCTCTATGTGTTGATGGCTTCTTGGTTGAGCCAATCTACTTGTATTGGTTCCTTCAACTTTAGCTATTGCCTTCCACTTTACTAAGCATTATCGTGCTTTCCAAGGAGCCATGTTGTGTCATGGTATGTCCAAAATATGATAGCCTCAATTTAGTCACCTTGGCTCCAGGAAGGTCTGGTCTTGTTTTATTCTTGGGCTTATTTATATGTCTTTTTGGCAATTCATGGTTATCCATATTCCAACAGGTCTGGAGCAACAGTGGGAAAGTGCAACACATCAATCTCACGGCAGTGGATAAACATGGCAAAGTATACACAGATGGTAAAAGCAGTCGCTATGATCCCCGCAGGCAGTGCTAATCATGCTCACTCTGCTCTGTTGTGTACCAATGTAGCATATGACTAAGAGCCTACTAGCATCTTCTTCCCTGTGTCAAAAAAGACTGTGTTACTCATCTTTACCTTGCCCTTTGAGATCTGTGAAAGTGTTTGTGTTTTTTTTCTGGAAGGCATGCCTGAATGTCGCTGCATGCTGGCAATCTGGGAGCAACCCAAGCTTTGCAGTATTAGTTACAAGCCTGGGCTGAGATTCTTCTAACCTTCTCATTCCTGGGTGAGCTTTAGGCTCATGGAGTTCTACTGTTGCAAACAGGCTGCCATTCTCTATTAATTTGTTTGGATACCAATTCCACTAAATCAGGTGCTGAACAAACAAGGAAAGGCTTGCATTGACTGTCTTGTATGCGTTTAGTCATTAAGTGCTATCTCAAACATTGACTGAATATCAGATAGCTCTGAAGTAACAACCTGCTTGCTGTTCTTGCTACTATATTTTCATGTGACTATGCCTATTAGTATTCTATATTTTGAAGGGGGTACTGGATTGGCCAATGAAATAACAGAAGAGAAGGTTCCATAGGGAAAAAAATGAGATATGTTTCATATTGCTGTCTTTTCATTTTTTAAAAAAATGTTTTTATTAAGTGAATTAATACTATACAGAACTTGAGAAAAAACATTTAAAACAGTATAATACACATATTGCAGGTATGCAGTTCCCCCAAAACTCCTCACCCATGAACCACCATTCGTGACTTCTGGCATCACTCAGTATGAAACTAATGTCTCAAAGAAAACATACCCTTTTCCTACAATAATAAATTCCCCTTGTGACTATTTTTGTCTTCTTTTCTAGTTATCGAAATGCAAGCCTCATTTTCTTAACAAAATCTTCATTGCTTCCTCCCCGTATGCCATTGGATAGCTTGGCAATTTGGATATATTCTAATAATTTTTCTCTCCAGTCCTATAGCTCTTTTTCTCCTTTCCAAGACTTTGCTATTATTATTCTCACTACAACAATAGTCCTAACAAAATAGTCCTAACAAAATAGTCACCAAATAGTCCTAAGGGGCACATCTCTGGATTTTCACTAACCTTTTTAGTGATCATATTATTTGTTTCTTTAATCACTTTTCCCAAAAAAAGTTTTTACCATTACAGATCCACCAGGCATGAAAAAAGGTACCTGTACTTTACATCTCCAACATTTTATGGCAAATGTTTTTCATTTATCGGTTTTGAAAAACCCCTTGGTTTCCAGTCTGGGAGAAAACTGGATTATAAATTAAACATTAAAGGTAAAATGTTTCTACTGAAGGTCTCTAGGAGTAGTAGTTTGCCCTCTTTTTTCTCACTGGAACAAGGTTGGTCTGGGGATTTTGGAGGTGATGAAGGGCACAAAAGACATCTCTGGGGGTCACTTGTAATTGCACTTTGCTCCTTCCCTCACCCTCCATATCAGTGTCTCATTCCCTTGAATCAGCCAGTCACTTGGTTATCCATGGTTGTTGTGGTCACAATTGTCCTCCCCGTTTAGATTCTGCTTGGTAGCAATGTGGTTACAGATTGTCCAGAACTTGAAAAATTATATCTAATAAATTTATTTTAATGAATTAATTAATTTCAGAAATGAATACAATGGGCTTTTGATAGTTACTGGGGTTTGGTTGTAGGACACTCCATGGATACCAAAATCCGTGGATGCTGAAGTCCATTATATATCGTGGCATAGTAAAATGGCAAAATGAATTTTTGGTTTTTGGAATATTTTCAAGCCTCAGGTGGTTGAGTCTGGATCCATATTCTGTGTGCCTGGAGGGCCAACTGTACATGAAATACTGAAGCCAGATGTAACTGATCAGAGATATTTTTCCATCTGTCCTTCTGCCATCAGGTCATTTTGGATGTCTTGCTTGGTCTAGCACAGAAAAAAAGATCTTGTATGTAGCAGAGAGAAGGCGACAAAAAAAGCACCCTCTTTTTCCTCAAGAGGGATCCTCCAAAAAAACAGCGAAGCCAAGTGAAGCAGGAGAGGTATTTCCTTAATGAAGTATCATTTAAATATCTGCTCTGTGCCAGGTGCTTGGCAATCTTTGTCTTTTTTGCTTTTAATCTGGGAGTGAGGCCAAAATTATATAGTCTACAACAGTTCCCAGAGCAGATATATGTGTTTTTTGTATAAATTGAGCAAAAAACTTAAAATACCAAAGAAGCTAAATTAGCAAGCCATTTCCATAAAATTAGGCAAAGTGCCCTACAGCAATAAAATAAAATGCCCTGCCTGGAACATTCAGGCTGACTGTGTTTACAATATTATGGCCCTGTGTCTAATACAGGACCACACGAAGATAACAAAAGTATTTATATGTTGAATACTGATTTCCCCAAAGCCTCCTGTTCTGTTTTTAAAGAGTCACCCATGTGGGCTGCTGGGTGATGGTACATTTTGGTGCACCCACTCAAACATTATTCTGCCAAAGCACTTGAGAGCCTTGGGGATTCAAGAAAACCCTCTAAAGCTTTTTTTTTTCCCAAGATGGCGCTGTGAAGACACACAGCACTGCCAGCTCCAGGGGCGACATCAATTGCCCCCGACTCCCCCCCCCTCGCGGCCGCCCCCTTACCAACTAAATCTGGG